AAACCTGTGCTCTCCTTGGAGGCCAACCTGGTCTACATAGTGAGTTCCAGGCCAGCTGCTTCCAGAGCAGGTACTTCTTGGCCTTCAAGGTGCCAGAGTGGGGCCTACTTTCAAACCCCAGCACCTAAAGGAAAAAAGAAAAGAATATTACTTTTATTACCTCAAGGCAACATTTTAAAAATGAAATCAAGTCTGTTTACATAATAAAGAGACCAGAGTTATACTTAAAGTGGAATAGGAACAAATGTGTTTAGGCTTAAGGGTGTTAGTCACAAGCAGATAAGGCTACCTGACTGAACAAAATCAGTCAATGGGAAAAGAAAGGGGGGCTTTGTGATGTTATTGGGGTTTAGTGGATTCTTTTGGGGGAGATCAAGAAAAACTGAAAGGTTTTGTTATTTGAAGAATGTGTAAATATACATTGACAATTCCTTGTGAATAATACTGCTGAGATTTGGGGCCCAAGCATTTCAAAAACAGCTTAAAGATATTAAATATTTTAAAGGGTATAAGTAGAGAATAAACTGTAATCTAACCTTTTCTTCTTCCCTTAGAGTATGAGAGTGGACACTTCTGGTTGCTTCCTCAAGGACAACTCAGTCTCCTCTACAGGAGAAGGAGTGGGGCCAGTGCTCAGGGTCTCTTCCCTCTTTGCAGCACAGACCTTTCCTCAATGCCCACCACACTCCCATACTCTCTCATACGGTAACCAAGGTGCAATTCCACCACAGCAACAGTAATCACTGCAATAGAACCTTTGTTCAAGACAATATGGGAGCCCAAAGAAAAGAAGGTTGGAGTTTGGAGGACACACTTCACAACTGGAGATCCACCTTTTCCTGATAGGCCACTTTGTAGTCCAACATTGCTAAGGAAAGTTTTTACATGTGATAAGTCATTAAAAACTCAAATAGTCACAATTTGTGTGACTATATAGCTGGATATCAACACAAAACCACAACTCTCACCTCAAAGGAACTGAAGATAGTTTACTCTGCAGCCAAGTATCCATGGCCATGGCCCTGGAATATAGATTCTGGTCACTCCAAGTTCTCTGTCCCAACATGGTAACAATTTCATGAAGTTTTTATAGTAACAAAACAAAGAAAATGCTAATCAAGATACCTTTCAAATACATTAGTGGAAACATTAAGTAGGTGGGATCCAGAAGAACATGGAAATCTCAGCTATATACATAAGATGCTATCTAACCTCACTTTTAGCCTTTTGGTTGATGGAAGCTAGTGCTATATTCCAAAAGATTTTTCTAATGGTCACAAAGATGTTAGGTCACCCTCCCTAGGAAGGCAATAAATAGCTATTGATGGAGCTAAAGATAGCCCCATTTTTTTGTGTTTTGTTTTGTTTTTAATTATTTTTAAAATTTATGTTTATGCATGTATTGCCTGTGTGTAGGTAAGTGCACCCATGTCGTGCAATGCCCACAGAAGACAGAAGAGGCTGTCAGATCTCCTGGAACTGGAGTTATGGACAGTTGTTAGTTGCCATGTGGGTTCTGGGATTCAAACCCAGGTCTCCTGCAAGAACAACTAGTGTTCTTAACCACTGACCCATCTCTCCGGCCCTGATAGCCCCATTTTTTAAATTAAAGAAAAAATTTAAGTGTATGTGTGTTACCTGCATGTGTGTAAGTGCACCTGTGCATGCAGTGCCCTCAGAAGCCAGAAGAGGGGGTCAGATTGCCAGGAACTGAAGTTATAGATAGTTGTTAGCTGCCATGTGGGTGCTGAGAACTGAATTGAACCTGGGTCCTCTCCAAGAGAAGCTGTGTTCTTAATTACTCTCCAGTCCTCAAGATAGATTGTGATTAGGCTGTGAACCTTCAGCATTCCAACCTTTCTACAGTCACTGAAGTTCTAATCAATTATCAGCCTTGTAGAAGTTTCAGTTTCAGGTGCTCTTCTTTCTAGTCACTATCCCATTCCAATGGATAAATGAGAAATTCACTTTTGTAAACCCCAAGATAGTAGCAAAAAATGAAAGCATTGATTGAATTCTGAGGTTTTGTCCAGAGCAAAATTATGCTTAATTTTTTCATTTAACAAACACATATATGCCAGATGTTGCTATAAACATTTTACAAATATTAACTTGCTTTAAAACCCCAATAATACTGCTATGATGCTGGGAAGATTATCTCCATTTTAGGCCTGAGCAGTACATGCAGGCTCCTCGCCTCCTTACCACATGCCCAGGTAAAGAAGGACACACCTAGGACATATTCACTTAGGTGGCCAGAGAGTGATTTGGGAGAAGGGGGAAAGGTCTTGCAAGGCCTTATAAGCAAGATGGTCAGCCATGGATTCCAGGAACTGTTGGCCTCTCTCTCCTTTCAGAATTTTTTGACATGTAACAGATCTCCAGGACAGAACGGGTAGCAGGGTATAGAGGAGGAAACTGGGAAGATGGTCTCAAGTGCTAGCATGGACTGCAGTCTGGACTTTTTGGAGAAACTGGAGATACTTTAAGACAGACTGATTAATAATTTTTTTCAGAACAGAGTTTTTTAACTTAGGTAGCAGGGGCAGTGGGCTCCCAAACATAGTCTCATATGGGGTGAAACCCGCCTTACAGGGAGTACATCTAACCCAGAGGAGGACCAGGGCCAGGAGGTTGGACCAGGTGGATTTAGTAGTCTGATTCATGTGTTTAACTTGTTCAGAGATTTGGGACCGGTAGGCATAATGGTTTAATGCCTTACAGACAATTTGGGGTATGGACAGGGTGAAGGCAGGTCCATTATTTGAGCAAATTGACAGAGGCAGCCAAAACCTAGGAATTATGTCGGAGGATTTTTATCATTGTGAGGGAAAGGCCTCCACCCAATCAGAGAATGTATCAATAAATACCAGCAGAAAAAAGTAGTTCAGGCTGTTTGGTGGCATTCAGGTGAGTCATCTGATGAGGCTGATCCATAAGGAGGCATCCAAGGGCTGCAAGATGGATGATTCCGAAGTCTGGAAGAGTCCATCATCCCAGCAGGAGTGGCTCATTAGGAAATAGAGCAGCCTGCTGGACCATTTGGCCTTTTGTCATGGGAGTGTCAGAATCCTCTTGCAGATCATGGTGTGGACATGAAAGGGTGGCAAAGGCATATCTACTGTTTGTGAATATGTTCATCCATTTATCCTGTTTATCCTTTCCCCAGTGTAGAGCCTGAGTAAGGGCAATCAGTTCGGTCTTTCCAGCGGAGGTACCTTGGGGCAAGGCTTGGACCCAGATAGCCTGTTGGGTGTTCATAGCAGCTCTGGCCTTCTGGGTCCCCTCTGTCACAAAACTGCTTCCATTCATAAACAAGTTGGCATCTGCCTCGGGTAAGGGGGTGTCCCAGAGGTCTGGGTGACGCTTGGGAGATCCAGTAGATCACAGTTACATAAGGGCACCACCAGGCAATTGTCAGGTATCAGTGTTGTTGTGTTAAAGATGAGATGGGGCTGATTAAGGAGCAGTCCTGGTACTGTGTGATTCAGGCATTTGACATCCATCAGTTGTTTGCTCCTTTGAGGAGGGTCTTCATTGTATGGGGGGCAGTAAGAGTTAAGTCTTGGCCCAAGGTGAGCTTGTTAGGCTCCTTCACCAGGGGGGCAGTAGCCACTATGGCACAAAGACAGGAGGGCCATCGTGAAGCTACTGGGTCTAGGCACTTGGATAAGCATGCTATGGACCTTTGTCAGGGTCTCAAAGTGTGAGTAAACATGCCTTTTGCAATCCCCTGGGCCTTATGAATTAAAAGGGGAAATGGTTTTGTGACAGGCAATACCAGAGTTGGAGTCTGGGTTAGCGCCAAGCTTGTTGGAAAGCTCATTCCTCTATGTCTGTCCATTTTAAGGGCTAATCCTCAGCTGTGACTGAGTAGAGGGACCTTACTATTTAGCAAATCCTGGGACCCAAAGTTGGCAATATTCCACTGCCCCCAGGAATTCACTTACCTGTTTGTTTTTTTTTTAAGTTTGGGCCATGGGTATCTGAAGGATGGCTTCCTTCTGGACCACAGCAAGGGTCATCTTACCTCAAGAGAGACTTCTGTCTGGCAAAGTTGAGTTTCTTCACAGAGACACGGTACCTCAGGGCCTGGAGCAGCTGGAAGAGGTCTTGGCTATCTCGTAGGCAGGTGGCTGGATCAGCAGTAGCTGACAGGAGAATGTCCATATACTGCAGCAGTATTGATTCAGAATGAGAGGTCCTGAAGTTTGTCAAGTTCTTTTGAAAGACTTCCCCCAACAGAACAAAGGCCAAATTTAGTGAACTTTGGTGATTTTGAATAGATTTGTGGGCTTGGGTTGCCTTCTGATTCCCATTAGAAGAGTCCAGTGAAAAGTGTTCAATGCTCTGGAGCAATCAGGACTGGGGCTTCTCAGAAAACAGGGGAGTGGCCAGATGCAAGGCCCTCGTGGGCCTGTGCCTGTCCTGAGGTCCAACCCAGGACCTTGGATCCCAGGACCTGGATTCCCTGGCCATTAATTGCAGCCATGGGAAGTAGAGGCAGGGAGGCCCTTAGCTGTTGTGTGTGTGTTGGGGGGGTGGTGATTTTTAATATGCCTAGAGGCAGCAGCAGAGTAGCTCCTGTTATCACCCAGTCTCAGGTCATGCATATCCTCCCTTGGGGACCCTGACCTGGGGCTCAGGTCAGAAAGCAGATGGGAAGAGGGCTGGAGTTTGGCAGGACACCAGCACATATCCATAGTATCTTGGGTAAGTAACACAGCATTAAGTAACTGGCACTGAGGAGACATCCCAGGACCCTCTTTCACAGTTCAACTTAGGGGTACTGATCTGCCTGTTGTCGACAAGGGTGGCAGGAGACCTGGCCACATGGAGGGAGAAAAGTTATGAGCAGCTGAGTTCAGGACACCACCAGTACATAGATGAGCCCATAGAACAGCCCAAGGGACAAGCACCCCCCAGTAGACAGAGATGCAGTAGCAGCAGTCTTTGAACAATCATAGAGAAAGGAGGAAATACCCTGAAGATCACTGTATCTCATCAGCAATTACTCAGGTTTCTTGTTTCCTTTTGTTTTGTTTTTACACCCCGTAGATCCATTTATGAGAGGACTCAGAAAGCTGCTGGAATGGAAGGGAGGGGACAGCATGGGTAGTACTGCTAGATGAGAAATTCTTAGATGAGAAATTCTCTAACAAAGAACAGATGAAGGGGGTATAAGAAGGGAGGAACAGCACTGTTCCGTGCCTCACCCTCTAGTTTGGAGATTTATTTATAGCCTTTTTCAATTTTCATTTTTACTGGCAGGTATTTCATGTAATGGTTAACACTGACTTGATCACCATTATAAACCTGGGATAGTGCATTGCATTAGTCCTCCTTCCCTTTTAAAAAGAGTATAAACCCATTTTAAACAAAAACATTTTGCAATAAAGAATCTTTATTCTTTTTTCTTTTTTCCCCTCTTATGAAGAAATCCAACCAAAATTAAAACAAAGCAAAGAAAGTGTACATTTTCTCTGGTCTTTTACAATTTACTGCATATCTTTAAGTTGGACTTTTCTTAACTCCTTTCATATTCTGGTACAATCAGGTATTTTTTATTTTATGCAAAACTATTTTTCCTTATTTTTTAGATAACATTGAAATTTTTAAATTTGAGGTCTTCCTCATATTTCTATATACAGGTCCCTAATATACCAGTCTTACTACTCACACTTTCCTTTGAGTTCCTAAGGATGGAGGGGGAGGATTAATAGAACACACCGAACTGATAAAAAAGTGAGTGGCCTCTTTTTTTTTCCTAGTAACAACGCAGAGTAGAACAGCATCTCCTTAGGAACAGTCATCTAGAGATAAATGTCAACCCATACCCTCAGAAGAGTAGAGAAAAGGGTACATAGTGACTTCCAGGCCAACTGGGAATACAGGGAGACCCTGTATCAAAAAGACAAAAGAAAAAAAAGCAAAACATAGATCCCCAGCACACACTTTAAAAAACTGGGCGTGGCAGTGCTCACTTAAAATCCCAGCAGTGGGAGGGTGAAGAAAGGAAGATCTCTGTGAATTGCTGTCTTGGCAGTCTAGCCAATCATTGAGCTCTGGGTTCAATGAGAGACTCTCTCTTAAAAAACAAAGTCAAGGGGTTTGGAAATTAGCTCAGTGGTAGAGCACTTGCCTAGCAAGCACAAGGCCCTGAGTGGGTCCTCAGCTCTGGGGGAAAAAAACCAAAACAGCTCTGGGGAAACAAAACCAAAATAACAAAAAAGACCAGACAAAACAAAAACAAAACCAAAATCAAGTCAACTAGCACATACAACCTCTGGGGCTACAGAGGTGGTTCAGCAATTAAGAGCACTACCTGCTCTTGCAGGTTTGATTCCCAGCACCCACATGGTGGCTAATAACCCTCCATAACGCCAAGTCTAGGAAATATGTTGTCCTCTTCTGGCCTCCTTGAACACTGCATGCACACGGTTCAGTTATATACATAACTATTGCATGCAAAACAGTTATATACATTAAATAAATAAATCCCAAGAACTTTTTAAGTGCCCCCCAAGAAAATCTCAAGTAAAAAATTGTTTCTCATATTTATTGATCATTCATATTTCTACTTCTAAGATTTGTCTGTAGTTTATTGCTGTACATTTTTCCATTGAAGTTCCAAAGTGATTTTTTTAATTGATTTAAAATGCTACACGCATTATTGATTAAACTGTAACACACCTTTTGTCAAGTATCTTGAAAGAACTTTATAGTTTGTAATTTACTTTTCAATCTTTGACAGCTTCTGTCTAAGGGACTTGAATTTTTTGTTGTTTTGTTTTGTTTTGTTTTGTTTTGTTTTTTGGTCTTTTTGAGACAGGGTCTCCCTGTAGCTCCAGTTGTCCTGGAACTCACTATATAGACCAGGCTGGCCTCAAACTCACAGAGATCCACCTGCCTCTGCCTCAAGGGACTTGAATTTTTCATGTAGTTAAGTCTTTGGTTTTGATTCCTTTGTGATTTAATCCATTGATTTTGTACTTAGACATTCTTCCTTCTGCTCAGGAACAGGTAAATTCTTCTAGTTTTTCAGTCAGCACCTTGACAAATATTGATTTTGTGTCAGATACATGCTTTAATATTTGTCTTACATTAAATGTTTTTCAATTTTAGCATGAGGAATCAATTTTAAGGCTGGGGAGATGGCTCCATGAGTAAAAATGCTAGCCTTGAAAGCTTGATGACTGGAGTGAAAAAAAAAAAAAATCCAGTAGTAAGGACGCCCAATGCAGTGGTGCACAGCTATAGCCCCTTCACTCCTGTGGCAAGATGGGAGGTAGAGACCAGAGAATTGTAATTGCCAATTAGCATGTGCCAATTAGCCTGGAGCACACAGCAGAGCAGCAGAGACAAGGAAGACCCCTGCCTCAACAAGGTGGGAAGTGAGAAAAGACTCCCAAATGTTATTCTTTGACCTTCACACATTAAAAACCTACACTCATACACACCTACAAACACACATACAATAAATAAATAAAACTAATAAAATGTTATGAAATTACCAAAAAGGAATTAATTTTAGTATGTTTGTACATTGATAATTTTACAAGTTTTCACAACAAAACAAACAATTGGACAATGTTTCTTTTGTGCACTGACATGTAATGCCAACTTTTAAAACTGCATAATTTTTGTAAAGAATAGTACCTATTTAAGCCTATGTATTCTATTATAAAGATATGTTTAAATTTTTCTACTACTACCATTCTGTTATAAGGGTTGTTTTAATGTCTTTTAGTCATGGTATGGAAAGTCTATGTATCAAGACTCTTGCATGCAGGTAGCAAAGATTCATTCAAGTTACTTTAACTGAAATGGAGAAAACCTATGAACCAATCAGCTGTGCTCAGAGGTATACATTTGAATCCTTTGAGCTTGTTGTTCACCCCTTTTTCATCAATGTCCTTTTTATTTAGTTAGTTTTTATTTTTATTTATGTGTATATGTGAGTGTGTCTGTCTATATGTGTGTGTGTGGAGGCTAGGGGAGAATCGGATCCTAGAGCTGGAGTTATAGGCACTATTAAGCTGCCTGATGTGAGTGCTGGGAACCAAGCTCTGGTCTTCTGGAAGAACAAGAAGTATGCTTAACTAGGGAGCCATCTCTCAAAGCCCACAGCTGGTTT